TGCTGGAATCTTTTGAAAGGGTTTTCATTCCATAATAAAACTCCCTTATTAATTTCCCATCTTTCCTCCCCTCTATGTTCCCCAACCCTCTTCGACGTTTATCCACGATTTTTGTCTCCTATGCTTTCCTGTCTTCATGTCCGATCTTGATTTGTGATCTCAGAGGCGACCTCAAATCCTGAAGAAGAAAGAGAAGGATAGTTGATTTGTTAATGATGGGTGCTGCTTTTTATGGTTGAGGTGGAGGATGAGGAGGGAGGTGGAGGAGGGAGGTGGAGGAGGGAGGAGGAGGAGGAAGGGACAGAGGAGGAGGAGGAGGAGAAGAAGAAGCAGTAGATGATGATGATGAGACTGCGATGTCTTGACGATGACGGTATGATGATGACGGCAATAATGATGATGACGACGATGATGATGGTATTTTACTGTGATATGACGGCATTGCGAAGGAAACAAACTTGTGGGCATTAACTTTGAACAACTGCAAAGAGAGGTGAGCTTGGGTGTCAAAAGCTCGAAGGAGATGAGGTACTGATATGATTTGACATTTACTAGGCGAACTTTCGTTTCTCCCTCGTTCGAATGCGTGAGAACGCTGAGAGTATAGCATTCTACGGTACTTGCAAGCACACCTCCCTGACTGTTCTCTGACATGATGTTGCGATGTGATGATGAAGGAGGAGAAAATATCGAGATGAAGGAGATCAAGAAGCGTTTCCAGTCAGCTATCGACAACTCGTTTCGTCTCATTTCAAACCAGAGAAATTTGGAACTTTTCACTGTAGCATATCGCTACATGGTCCAGGTCGGCTTCTCTTCAATCACTTTGCCTCCTTGCTGTATTTGTTCTTGATAGCCCTTTTTGCTACTGCCAGCGCTGCTGCTGCTCCTCCTCTTCATCCCGCTTTTCCTCCTCCCCCTTTTCCCCGTCAGATACCACTAACACCAGCACTTCCATCTCCTCTACATCACCACTTCTGATGCGTTTTGTTGGTCATACCTGCTTCCTTCCCGCTCCTTCCTCTCTCTTCTTTATTCTCCTCATTCCTTTCCCTTCAGGTTATTCCTGCGTGGGTCGTTGCCCCACTCTACTTCAAGGTAAGACAACTTCTTCCTATCCCCCATCCTCTCCTCTACCTCCATCTCCTCCGTCGCTCCCCTCCTCTACCTCCATCTCCTCCGTCGCTCCCCTCCTCTACCTCCATCTCCTCCGTCGCTCCCCTCCTCTACCTCCATCTCCTCCGTCGCTCCCCTCCTCTACCTCCATCTCCTCCGTCGCTCCCCTCTTCTACCTCCATCTCCTCCGTCGCTCCCCTCCTCCACCTCCATCTCCTCCGTCGCTCCCCTCCTCCACCTCCATCTCCTCCGTCGCAACCCCCTGCACCTCTTTCCCCCTCCTCCCGCAGTCTCCTTATATTCTCACTCTCTTCATCTCATCCTTGTTTACTATCTTTCTCTTGCCGGCACCACCACCAATTCCTCATCAACCTCCTCCCCCTCCTATCCTCCTCTTCTTCCTGACCCATCATCTACTCACTCTTCCTCCTTCTCACACACTGCAGGGCAAGATAGAGCTTGGGGTTGTCAGTCAGAGTTACGGCGCTTTCAATCACATTCTTTCTGACCTCTCCATCATCGTCAACCAGGTCAAACGATCAAAACCTTCTCTTCCTCTCTCGTTCCTGCTTCTCCCTTACCCTGCCTCCATTCCTCCTTCCCTCTCTCTCGCTCCCTCCTTGTCTGCTAGTCTCCTCTTTCCATCTCTGTTCTCCTTGGCCCCTCCCTCCCTCCCTCTCCCTACCCGCCTTGCCTGCTTCCTCCTTTCTCCTCCATCCTCCCACCTATCCGCTTTTTTCCTCCCCCCTCCACGTCTGTCTGTCAGGTTGCATCCTGCGAGGCTGACCCGACCAGTTAACTGTCAATGGTTCGATTTCAACTCACTTTCATGTCTTGTCGCAGTTTGAAGGAATCAGCTCCTTCTCTGCCGGTAACGACATGTGGATTGTTGACACGTCTTGTATCATTCTGCACAAGGAGTCTTGTCTTGTCTCTCTGATTCACAGTTGACAACTGCTTTTTGATCCGTCTCTTCAGTTTTGTTTCTTATGAGTCACTCGTTGATACCCGTTCCTTGCTTCTTGTGTGTTGTTTTGGGTGCGCTCTGTGGTCGATTTTCTTTCACTCTCATTCTTCAGGTATTGGTCGTCTTGGCGACTTCATCGAGGCCATGGAGAGCAACAAGGTCTGATGAAGATGATGTTTGTATTCCATCCTGTCCAATCCTGTCCTCCATTCTTCCCTCTCTTTCCCTCTTCTCACATGATTGCTGCAGAACAACGAAGCTGTGGGAGGAGCGCAAGTCACAAGTCAGTGAGTTTGTCTGAAAGTTCTTTGCTTGACACAGGTGTAGATGCTACAAGCACCTGGGACTCGATCACGTGGTGGGATGCTTTCAAGGTTGTAGATCTATGTGATGGTGTTGTTGTTGTTGGTGGTGGTAATGATGATGATGATTGCAAAGATGATTGTGATGACGATCATTACTGCAACGATGACCATGACGATGGTGTAGTGGAGGAGGAAGAGGATGAGGATGAGGATGTGGTGGTGTTGGGGTTGACGGTGACGTTTGCAAGACTGCCATCTCTCTCCGTGGGTTTCACCAGGGGGATCCTACCTCGTTGTCGGTGACCGGCAGCTGCTCAACTGACAGAAGCTGACTCCCTGCCCAGCTGGTGTGGAGCGCCATGAAGGAAGGGATCTTGCCGATTCCAGGGTTCCAGGTAAACAGCGAGGGATGGGAAAGTTTGCAGGTGATAGGAGCGCAGGACAACGCACACCGAACGTTCCTGAGGGAGGAGGTGGAGGAGGAGGGGAGAGAGGTGAAGGCGGGAGAGAAGGCGGCGGAGAGGAAGGAGGAGGAGAGCAGTATCAAGAGCGTCATCGTGCCGGGGGAGGTTGTCAGGATCAAGGACCTGACGCTAAAGGTTCAGAAGTTGTTTCACCTCCTTTACTCCTGCAACCAAGAATGTTTCACGATGGTGGAAATGTGCCAATGTTGTTTCAAACATCGTTAGATGAAGTTATGTGTCCTAGATGGTTTGATGATGTTGTATCCTTACAATCTCGCTCTCAGTGTTGAGTATGAGCTGCTGCTGATAATCTCGTTTCCTCCTTCTTCCTTATTCCACAGACTCCGGACAACTCCAGAGTTTTGATTGAGAACCTCAACATTGAGGTGCAGAAGGGACAGCATCTCCTTATTGTTGGAAACAGGTTCCTCCCCCTTCCCCTCGTCCTCGTCCTCCTCATCCTCTTCCTCCTCCTCGTCCTCCTCGTCCTCCTCGTCCTCCTCGTCCTCCTCGTCCTCCTCGTCCTCCTCGTCCAACTCCCCTTTCTGAGCTCCTGCCGTGTTTTCTGTTTCAGCTCCCTCCCTTCGCTCTCCTCCTCCTCCTCCTCCTCCTCCTCCTCCTCCGTCGTGATTCAACTGACTCACCTCCTCCTCCCAGTGGAGCCGGCAAGAGCTCTCTGCTCCGCGCCATCGCTGGGCTGTGGACAGCAGGGAAGGGAGAAATTACCCGCCCTCCTCCTGGAGAGACTTTCTTCCTCCCTCAGCGTCCCTACTGCACCCTTGGGTCCCTCCGAGAGCAGGTTAGAGGAGGGAGGGAGGGAGGGAGCAGAGGAGGGAGGGAGCAAAGGAGGAAGGGAGGTGGAGGAGCTCATTTATCTGTCAGGGTTGCCATATTGGACGAGGCGAGTTCCGCTCTTGACCTTATGAGTGAGAAGGTGAGGAGCAGAAGTTGAAGGATGAGGAGAGGACGAGGAGGAAGGAGGGGAGGGGGCGGCAAGGGAGCCAGGAGGGAGGAGGGGGGAGATTTCTTTCTTGCTGATCTCACTTGGCAGAGCATGTATGAGCTGCTTGAAAACCTTCCACACCTCACTTACATCTCAGTTGGTCACCGACCAAGGTACTCCTCCTCCTCCTCCTCCTCCTCCTCCTCCTCCTCCTCCTCCTTCTCCTCCTCCTCCTCCTCCTTCTCCTCCTCCTCCTCGTGCTCCTCCTCCTTTTGCTTCTTCCTCCCTCGCCCTGCCCGTTTCTCCTCCCATCCTCCAGCCACCTTGTTGTCTTCTATTGTCCAACATTCATCTCCCTCCTCCCTCCTCCCTCCTCCCTCCTTCCTCTTCGTCCTTGGCCTCTGACCTCCCCGCAGCCTCCTGCACTATCACGACATGAAGTTGAAGCTCAAGGGGGACAAGTTCGAGATCGAGAAGATCGCAGACACCAGCGAGAAGCAGCAGATCGTGGCTCTCTGAGCATGCATAACCCCTCCCTAGCCCCCCCTATTACCCCCTCCCCAGCTGCAGTCACTTCTAGTTTATCAACAAGCATGATTCCTTACTGTCTCCCTTTCCTTCCTTTCTCAGCTCCGTCCCGCTGTTACCAGCACACCGTCGGCTACATGTCTTCCCTCGCACTTGACTTGTTTTGCATCTCCCACCACAAGATTTGTAGGATGCAACTGCCAGTCGCCGTTACCGCCACCCTCCACCGTAATCACTCACTTTCTCAGAATCGACTTGTACGACAGAGCCTGGAACCCACGAGTCCTCTGAGGGAAGAAGAGGAGGTAGAGGGGAGAGAAAGAGAACAGCAGTTAGAAAGCAACAAGAGAGGGTAAAGGAGAGGAGAAGCGGAGAAGACGAGAAAGTCGTGATGGGGAAGAAAAGAGACGAGAAGGTAAAGAGGAAAATCGTCAGGAAACAGCAAGGTGAGATACGAGGTTGAAGCATCAGAGAGCAGGTAGAGAATATGAAAGGGACAGGAATCGACACACAACAACAATGGAAGTCAATGACAGGAGGAAAGGCAGCAACAAACCAGCGCTTGCTTCAGGTCGGTCGTCGGTAGGGACGCAACCCAGTGGTACAGTGCTCCTCCCACCCGACCTCTCATCGTGTGCTTGAAGAGGATGGACGTGCTAGCTCACTTCAGTCCTACCACCCTCCCCGATCATCTCCCACCACCTGTCATTGAAGATGCTCATGTTCACCATCGGCGGGTAGGAGGTGTTGTGCCCCTCGTCAAACAGCTGGAAAGGTTTCATTCTCCTACCCCCCATGCTCCGCCCGCAAAGATTCTCGCACCATCCTGTGGAAGGCCTCCTCCTTCGCCTCCTTGCCCGAGCCAGCAGGTCGAGCTTGCAAACTCTTTGCTCCCGACACCCCAGCCTGCTACACCTTCAAGACACATGGCGGCGCATCCAGAAATCCTCCTACCTGTATATGTCGATCCCATGGTTGCGTATGCATCCTGCACGAGACGACACCTGCGAGTCACGTGGTGACGTCATAGTCAAATCCACAGCCCTGACAGAGATGCTTCCTACCTGTCTTGTTGGTTCCGTACCTTGCCAGCCTGCTGCATCCATCCGGGTTCTTGCAGAGATGTCTCTGACAGCAGCAGCATCAGCAAGGGTGTGAGATGTGAAGAGGGATGACAGTTGTGGGTCGGCGAGTTGCTTCCGACTTGTGTTGATTGCAGAACCTCAGATCACCGTTCTGACAGGAGAAGGCCCCGAACTTGGAAGGAGAACAAGAATATTCAGAAGTGCTAAAGCGAGTTGACATACACACTTCCTCCTCCTCCTCCTCCTCCTCCATCGTCATCATCATCGTGATCGTGATCGTGATCGTGATCGTGATCGTGATCGTGATCGTGATCGTGATCGTATTCATCATCATCATCATCATCATCATCATCATCATCATCATCATCACCATCACTACCTCCATCATCATCATCACCATCATCATCACCATCATCATCACCATCACAACCTCCACCATCATCATCACCATCATCATCACCATCACTACCTCCACCAGCACAGAGCAAACCTCACTTTCAAGCATCCCTCTGGATGGTCACACCGTCGATTTCGGACATCCACACAGTCATCAGTGGCATGTTTCCTGCAGAAGAGTTTTCTTGGGTCATCCTTGAACGCAAAAGTCGCCTGTGTTGAGCACTTCAACCCGTCCTCTGAAACGAACATGCACCTCTTGTTCTTTAAGTCTACATGCTGCGGGCCCTTGTGGGCTGTGCAGAACAAAGGCTTTCCTCCTTCCACCCCGTAGGAAGGGACCTTGTTGCACGCGTCAAACTGACATCTTGAACTCCGGAGATCGACGTGACTGGCGTCCCTGTGCTTGGCGCAATAGATCGCCTTCCTTTCCTCAGGGTCTCCGAACGAAGGAGTTCTGCTGCATCCTTCCTTCTTGCACACCCTCCTGCTGATGCTCTTGTCGCCCTGCTCCCTGTGCTGCGAGCATCTCGTGGGCCCCTCCCCGTCGTCCCCGAACACAGACTGCTTGTTGCATCCCGGAACTTCGCACATGGCGTGGAAGACGTCGACCTCTCCTTCCAAGCGATGATGCTTGCAGTGAGCAGGAGCACTTCTGTGCGCCGGCAACTTGCTCCTACTCGTCTGCGGCGCGGCAAAGATGGCTTTCCTTGCGCACTGAAGGCACCGACCGTGGAGGGGGACAGCGTCGCAATGCAGCGAGTCGACACAAACCTTGCACAGCTTCTCCTTCCACTCTCTCTCCTTCCCCTGGATGCCCCAGCGTGCGGGCCGCATCACACACCGAGCGCAAGTAGCATGCTGCAAGGTGAAAGGAGGCAGGACTTTCCTGAGGGTGGAGAGACCATCTCCCAATCTCGACGATGCGGCAGCGATCTTGCTATCGTGTTTGATGAGGAGCGTCAGACTGAGGGTCGCCAGCAGGACAAGAGCTCTCAACAAGTGCCGCAGAGACATCTCCCATGTAGCTCCCTCATAATCTTGTGCCCAGAGTCAACACCGACCTAAAGCTTGTCTCGAAGTTGCAAGATCGGTCAAACATAGTCCTCTCTTGACTGATGCCCGCCCCGATCGTGTTTGTGTTCTAAATCTTCACTCCCTTCCCTCTTGTTGATCCTCCTGCTCCTCCTGCTCCTCCTGCTCCTCCTGCTCCTCCTGCTCCTCCTGCTCCTCCTGCTCCTCCTGCTCCTCCTGCTCCTCCTCTCTTCGCCTCCATGTAAGGCAATGGCCTCACTGGCCGCATTCCCGATTCCCCACATCCCCACTCATTGGGCCCGGCGGCCCGCCCAGGCCCGCCCCCGCCGGGCCGCTGACTCGGAGCCCGGCCCGGCCTGGGCTCCCGCCGGGCCGCGTCTGTGACGGACTCAGTGACTCTGCCCGGGCCGGGTTGTTCAACGGTTCCGAGTCCGCCGGCTTATCTCCGTTTTACTCGAAGTTAAGTTAAACTTGAATGTCCGATCCCACACGTGACAAACCGTCTAACTTAACTTTGAGTAAAAATCTAAGGCACTGATGAGTCAGTCAGGTGTTCCCGGAGTCTTCCGAGTCATCACTCTCAGCATCGCCCGGGGGGCCAACCCTATCTATAAAGAGTGTATCATGCCAGGCAAGTCTTATCGTCAGCAAGCCATGATGCAGGGTAGGTGCCAGCGTGACCGGACCCTCGATAAAACCGCCGGTACCCTGACTGAACCCGTCGGTATCGTGACCTGCTGACACTTAAAGACCGCCGATGAGTTTTATATTCCCCTCCTTTCCCTCCGTTCCTCTACCCCTCGCTCCCCTACCGCTCCCTCCTCCCTCCTCCCTCTCCGCTCACCTCCTCCTTCCCCCCATCAGCCTCCTCACTACTCCCCTCCCCCTCCCCTGCATACATCACTCCCTCCCTAACATGTGCAAGGCACTCCACGAGTCAGCACTTGTTGCCAGCAGAAAGATCATGATCCAAAACGTCGACTTCTACATCCCACGCTCCAGCCGCGACAAGCTGCAGCGGCCTGCCGACAGCGCCTCCTCCTCGGCCAAAGCCTCTCAGCATCGCGAGGCAGGAGCGGCGTCAAAGCCGAGCCTCTTGACCAACGTGCTGCATGTGCAGAGGAGGCTGAGGGTCGAGGCTGACTGATGTATATCTGGGATGGAGTCGGCGGGATGTAGCATAGAGCACCTGTAGCATAGGGGGAGGAGGAGGCTTGTGGTTGTGTAGTAGTAAATGCGTGATACCGGGACGATCTGAGAGGTCACACGCATCGGGAGAGAGCGCGGGAGGGATGAAGGAGGACGGTCCTGATGTTCATGGGGCTGCTGAATTGTGCTACACACCGTGCCCCAGCACGTGTAGGGAAATAGGTTCATGCCCTTGCCGACAGCAGTAGCCTGTCGTGCTCGGTGTGTTCTAGTAAACGCAGCGCTGTCAGTGATTGCTCTGGTGATCGCCCATTCCCGAAGGTCACCGGGTTGTGCGTACAACCGTGACTCTCGACCGGACGGTGACTTTTAATGGCGATGGTCATGTGCAGGTGCACTCAACCTGTAACTTCCGAAGTTGCTGATTGTCGATATGGTTGATGTTGAGCAGCTTGGAGTGTGTCGACTCAAGTTGTTGTGAGGGGTCTGAGATGCCAGTCGGAGTCACTCGGAATACTATCATACTATCATACTGTAGCCCCGCAGATCACAAGAACAGGGCCCGGGTAGAACAAGTTCAACCTGACAGAACTCGGACAACTCGGATGAAAGGCAAATTGCAGTCACAGCCGCGGCCCGGCCCGGCCGGCGGCAATCGCCGGGCCCGCCTCTTCGAGGACCCTCATCCCCGTCTTTCCAATATTGGCATTGGGACTGAGGGTGGATGAGGGGGCCAGGCTTCACGTGCATTGAAGGCGACAAGAGGGGAGAGGAAAGAAGAACAGAGACAGTGAACGAGAGGGGTACTGCATCCTCGGAGACAACGGGAGGGGTACTGCATCCTCGGAGACAACGGGAGGGGTACTGCATCCTCGGAGAGCTGATATCTTGTGTGCAAGAGCGACGGCACAAGGATGAGGTTCGGGTTCAAGTTTTCCAACCTTTGTGGGTCTGTTTACAGCCAGGGGAATCTGCTCTTCACGCCCGATGGCGGGTCACTTCTCAGTCCTGTCGGGAACAGAGTGACAGTCTTCGACCTTGAGAACAGCAAGAGTCTCACGCTCCCCACGGAGAACGCCAAGAACATTGACTGCGTCGCCCTCTCCCCCGACGGGACCGTCCTCATCACCGTGGACGAGGAAGGGAGGGCGCTACTGATCAACTTCCGCAGAGGCTCCGTGCTCAACTACTTCAACTTCAAGACCAGGGTCAGCGCCATCCTCTTCAGCCCCTGCGGCAAATACTTTGCAGTCTCCCACGGGAAGCTAGTTCAAGTCTGGATGACTCCCAGCCTCAAACGCGAGTACGCTCCCTTCGTCCTCCACCGCACGTATGGGGGTCACTTTGACGAGGTGGTGTCGCTCGACTGGTCGACCGACTCTTCCTACTTCATCTCGGGCTCCAGGGATCTGACAGCAAAGATCTTTTCCCTAGAGCCCTCCCCTGGGTTCCCCGTCAACTTCGCAGGGCACAAGGACACGGTCATCGCGGCTTTCCTGCCCAAGGAGGAGGACACGGCCTACACAGTAGCTCGAGACGGGTGCCTGGTAGCCTGGCAGAAGAAGGAGGACGTGGAGGACGGAGGAGGCGGCAACCGGGTGGGGATGAAGCGGCACAGGACGAGCGGAGGATGGATGCTGAGGGAAAGGCACTTCTTTCATCAGGGGAAGGTGCAGTGTGCTACGATACACAAGGAGTCTTCGCTCCTTGTCGTCGGGTTCTCCAGCGGGATCTTTGGGCTCTACGAGCTGCCGTCCTGCAACAACATCCACACGCTCTCCATCTCCAGCCAGAAGATCAACAGCGTCAGCATCAACAAGAGCGGCGAGTGGCTCGCGTTCGGGAGCAAGAAGCTCGGGCAGCTGCTGGTGTGGGAGTGGCAGTCTGAGACCTACGTCCTGAAGCAGCAGGGGCACTCCCAGGGCATGAACTGCATCGACTACTCGCCCAACGGCTCGCACATGGTGAGCGGGGGAGAAGACGGGAAGGTCAAGATCTGGCAGTGCAGCACGGGCTTCTGCTTCGTGACCTTCACTGAGCACACCGGGGCAGTGCAGTCGGTCAAGTTCCTGTCCAAGGGCAACGCCGTGCTGTCTGCCAGCCTCGACGGGTCTGTGAGGGCGTTCGACCTCGTGCGGTACCGCAACTTTCGGACTATGACGACGCCGAAACCGACGCAGTTCCTGTCGCTGGCCGTCGACCCCTCGGACGAGATCGTGTGTGCTGGTACGCAGGACTCGTTTGAGATCTTCGTGTGGAGCCTGAAGACTGGGCGGCTGCTGGAGGTGCTGGCAGGGCATGAGGGGCCGATCTCCTGCCTGTCGTTCAACCCGATCCAGCCAGTTCTGGCGAGCAGGTGTGGGAAGGCGGAGGGGGAAGTTGGAGATGAATTGGCTGAGATGGTGATGGTGATGGTGGTGGTGGTGGTGGTGGTGGTGGTGGTGATGATGATGATGATGATGATGGTGGTGGTGATAATGGTGGTGGTGATGATGATGATGATGATTACATATGCGTTCCATGCTGTCGGCGATTACCTCGAACGTTTTCTCCCTGGTTTCTTTCTTTCTTTGTAAAGGTGACTTGTGTTTTGTCTCTTCAGCTCATGGGACAAGACGGTGAAGCTTTGGGATGTTTTTGAGAGCAAAGCAGCGACGCAGACGCTGCAGCACAACTCGGATGTTCTCTGCGTGACCTACAGGTACCCAAATTACCTCCCTGCTCCCTGCTCCCTGCTCCCTGCTCCCTGCTCCCTGCTCCCTGCTCCCTGCTCCCTGCTCCCTGCTCCCTGCTCCCTGCTCCCTGCTCCCTGCTCCCTGCTCCCTGCTCCCTGCTCCCTGATCCCTGCTCCCTGCTTATGATCACTGATAGATTTTCTGCTTCCTCCTCGCGTCTTCCCTCCCTCCTCTCCTTCCTTGTCTTATCTCCTCGTTTCTCACGTGCGCACGTCAGACCCGACGGAAAGGAGCTTGTGAGTAGCGCGCTGGACGGGCAGATTTACATCTGGAACGCCATCGACGCCAACCTCTTGGGGACTATCGAAGGGAGAAGAGACGTGATGGGAGGGAGAAAGAAGTCTGATCGAACAAAGTTGGCGTCTCAGGTATTGATGATGATGATGATGATGATGGCGATGGCGATGATGATGGCGATGATCATAATGATGATGATGGCGATGATGATGATGATGATGGCGATGATGGCGATGGTGGTGATGATGATGACGACGACGACGACGACGACGACGACAACGACAACGACGACGACGACGATGGAGATGATGATGGAGATGACGATGACAATGATGATGATCTTCTTTTTTCAATCCTACTTCTCATCTTCCTTGTCCTGACGCTAACCCAACAGGCTTCAGCAAGCAGCTTCTCCACCTTGTGCTACAGTGCGGACGGCAAGTGCTTGATCGCAGGGGGGAACACAAAGTGGGTTTGCATTTACAACATCTCGAGGAAGACCTGCATCAAAAAGTTCCCCATCTCCTCCAACCAGTCGCTCGACGGCATCTTGGATCAGTTCAACACCAGAAACATGACAGAGGCTGGACCGCTCAATGAGATTGATCATGACAGGTCAACTTGCTCTTTCCCTCCTGCTTTCCTCCTGCTTCCTTCCTGCATCCCTCCCCCTCCCCTCCATATCTCTCCCCATTCCCCTTCCTCCTCCTCCTTCCTTCCTCCTCCCCTCCTCCTCATCCTGATCCACTCTATACCCCTCCCCCCCTTCTTACCCTCTGCCTCTGCCCTTCTTCGCCCTCGCCCTCGCCCTCGCCCTCGCCCTCGCCCTCGCCCTCGCCCTCGCCCTCGCCTTCGCTTCCCCCATCGCCCCCCCTCCTCTCTCTGGCACTGACTATCAGATTGCAGCGAGGAGGAGCGAGAAGACGCGAGGGGGAGGAAGGACGAGACTCTGCCGGGAGCCAAGAGGGGCCAACTCACCTCCTCCCGCAAGACCGCCAAGGCCATTCGCTCCACCTGCCTCCGTTTCTCCCCGACGGGACGCGCGTGGGCGGCAGCGACGACTGAGGGGCTTCTGATTTATTCCCTTGACGAGACTTCAAGTTTCGACCCCCTTGACCTCGACCTCGACATCACCCCTGCTCGGATCTACAAGAGCCTCGAGGTGCCTTGCCTGCTCCCGCCTCTCCTGCTCTTTCTCTTGTCGTGCCCTCCTCTTCTCCACCCTCTCTTCTTCCCACGTGACTCTCCTCCTTCTCTCCGCTCCCTGTCCTTCTCTATCCTACACCTTGTCGCCACCCGCCTCCTCCTCTCCTCTCTTGCACTCTCGTCTTCTCTCCTCCTCTCTCCTCCTCTCTCCTCCTCTCTCCTCCTCTCTCATTGTCTTTCTTCCTCTCTCCTGCTTCCTCCTTGGCTCTCCCCTCTGACAATATCACAGGACAAGGAGTGGCTCGATGCCATCCTGATGGCCCTCCGGCTCAACGAGGCTAGCGTCCTGCGCTCAGTCTACGAGAGGGTCCCGAAGCAAGACATCCCCCTTCTCGTCTCCTCCATCCCTGCCCCTTACGTCAAGAGGATGCTCGATCTTGTTGCTGTTCAGGTGCCGCGCTTGCTCCCCTTACCACCCCTGCTCCTCCGCTTCCTTACCACCCCTGCTCCTCCGCTCCCTTCCTCTCCTCATCCCCTCCTCCTCTTTCCACTCTCCCACCTTTGTGATCCTCCTCCTCCTTCCCCTAGCTCTGTTTCTCATCCTCCCCCCTCATCGTTCTTCCCCTGCTCCTGCGATTGCTCATATCCTCCTTCCAATCCTGTTTCCGATCCTCCTCCCGATCCTCCTCCTGACTCCCCCCCTCCCGCCCCACCTCCTCCTCCACCCTTGTCCTCCGCGTCTTCTCATCTTCACTTGCAGGCTTCTTCGTCTCCCCACATCGAGTTTCACTTGCAGTGGGCGGAGAGTCTCCTGCTCCACCATGGCGCCGTCGTGATGCAGGAGTTCAGCACCTACTCAGCTCCTCTAAGAGCCATGCACATGTCGTTCTCCCGCCAGGTGATGATGATGATGATGATGATGATGATGATGGTGGTGGTGGTGGTGGTGGTGGTGGTGATGATGGTGGTGGGTGGGTTGGTGGGCGGGTGGTGATGGTGGTTGTTGTACTCTTCTGACTTGTCTCTGGCAGATGAATGATCTCAGTCACATGTGCAACAACAACCACTACAGCCTCGCCTTCATAACCTCACAGGCTGAGTCAGATGGACAGTCTTTGTAGATACTCGGAAGAATATACATCCCAATCAACATCAGCTACACTGGGCCTTCATGTTGTCTCGGCGTCCTTCTCAGACAACATGAAACAACCACGAGCGACTCTCATCTACAATCGTCTTGTCGCAGACTTGCTCATGCCCGAAGTTTCGACTCCTCGCCCTCTGCTGACTCGAGCGTTTCACTGGCGAGAATCGTCAGAGCAGGTCTGAGTCCCATCACCCGGACCTACCAAGGCAACGTCCCGACTGCCACTAGCACCTGTCGACCATCTCGTCGAACTTGCCCTCAAACCTGATCACTGCCTCGTCGTAAACAGACTTGAAGTGAATGCTAAAGAACTTCCTGAAACCCTCGATGTCGACCTGCTCAGGCATGTCAAGTCGGAGTTCTTCACTGCCCTCCTGCATGCCTCGTCCTCCTGCAGTACCTGATCGAAGTCTGCGTGCTTCCTCGCCATTGCGATAGAGGTGCTGAGATCTTGTAGTTTATATGCTTTGGGGAACACTGTCCTCATGTTCTGCTCAATGTCCTGAAGCACGACCTTGCCGTTGCGGTAGGACGGGAAGCGCCTGAAGACCTCCAGCATGACATCAGGTCGCTGGTCGGAGAAAGCGATCTTGGACCTGCTGCTTGTCTGAGGGGGGTCTTGGAATTGAATGTAGTTTCTGGACTCTTGGTAGGAGTGCCTGGGAGACACTCCGCGCTGACATCCTTGGTCTGGCGAGTAGAGGAAGGGCTTGAAAGACCGGTTGACTTGTCTCTGATTCACGACCTTCAATTTGGGCTGGGTCTGAGATTGCTCTGCACAGCAGCAGCATGATTCTACTGATCCCATGCCTCTTCAGGTAAGACAGAAGCTCCAAGCTGAGTCTTGGTAAAGATACAAGTGCGGTGGGTGAGAAGATAACTACAAGCCTGGACGCTGCACTCGGCAAACGTTGCGTCACCGATACGGAAGATAGGAAGGTCTCAGATCGCCTCGGCAATTTTTCTGTGGCTCTCCGCCCAGCCCAGCTGAGGCACCTCGTGGCAGGAGCTGGAGGAGAAGCAGGAGGAGGAGGAGGAGGAGCAGGAGCAGGAGCACTAACAGTGCCGGAGGGCGGTTTATTACGTTTTAAGTTTTATATTTAGAGTAAATTAAGTTTTATATTTAGACTACATCTGATGGACAGTACTGTTCCTGGTAGTGTGATTTAGTACTGGTACCTTTCTGTACAGTACCGACCTCCGGCGTGCCGGGGGCTCACTGATACCGGTTTGTACTGGCAAACTTCCTCTACTCAAAGTTAAGTAAAATTCTCCGGCCGGGCGGCGGCCCGAACGTCAAATCACTGAGCGAGAACCCTCTTTACTCAAAGTTAAGTTAAAAATCAGTACGAGGACAATCAGGAGAGTCGAGGAGGCTTGACCCTGACACTGTCGCACAGGCCAAACGGCGAGAAGAGAAAAGACAGCGAGAACCAAACCCAATCCTGCCAACTGCTGTCCCCCAAACTTAACGGGAGCAATCCGATCCGAGGAGCCTGAGACGAGGAGGCTCGGCAGGGCCCGGCAATCGAATCAGCCCGGGCTGCGGACCGGCCGGGCGGGGCGGTCGGACCGTTGCCGTTACTCCAGCCTCGCCTCGGAATGAGGGAGATGATGCCGAAGAACTGAGGGGGATGAAAATGAGTGGGGATGAGGGCTTTTACCCCGATTTTGACCGGGAAAGGGACTGAGGAAAAGGGGGGTAGGGTACTTGAGATGGCGACGTAGGCTGGCGA